ATCAAATGCGTCAATCGTGTTTTGAACAAAGATTTAACGTGTAAATTTCAAGAATACATCAACGGGTTTTCAAAAGCAAATAGAAAAGGAGTGATGACTTGTGCTAGAATGAATGAATTCAACAAGAAATTTAACACTTCGTTTCAAATTTATAATCCCAAAAACAGACATTTTCACCCCAGAGACGTTCACGATGAATTAGATTGGGTTTTGTACTTACACAACTCGCATTTCTGTTTGATTAGAAGAAGCCAAAAAAGTTTGGGAATTCAAGAAATAGAAGACAATTACGAACAGGTGTGGAAAACGTGTAGAGACGACAACGCAGTAACACAGGTTTCACCCCTCAAACTAAACGTGCTTTCGAGTATGAGCGATGATGCGTTATTCGCTTGGGATTACGAAACGTATTCAGAAAAAGACACGCGAAGAGCAATTCCATATTGTTGCACTTTAATTAATTTAGAAAAACTAAGGAAAATGTTAAACAGAATAAATAATCTCTTTCCAGATTTAAAGCCTACAGATCCCATTCCAGAAGAATTTTATGATAAACTAATGAATGTAGTAGAAATATTTGTAGGTACAGATTGCATCGATCAAATGTTGAAATATTTAGCTCAATATGATAGAAAGAGATTAATATTAATTTCTCATAACGGCAGTGGATTCGACAACTGGATCGTGCTTTAAAATGCAAAAAAACTAACGCATTGCCTTTTAAAAACACCCAGAGGAATTCTATGTTTTCCTAATCCATACACGGATGAAGATTTACAGAAAAAATGGAAAAGACAGAAAGAAATAAAGGGTAATTATTTACAACATATTAATTTCACGTGTTCCTATCAACACGAATCCTCTAGTTTGGCTGCATGGGGAAATTCTTCCAATCTTCCCGCGAATTTGAGAAAGATTGTCGACGTAGATATCGCTAAATACACGCGAGACAACTGGGAGGAATTGAGACACGAATGGGAACCTTACGCCAAGAGAGACACTCTCTGTTTGGGAGCTTGTTTGATAAAATACAACCAAGTCACGAAAGAAGTTGTAAACCAAAATATGTCCAATAATCTAACGGCTCCATCTTTATCTTTAAAGGGTTGGTATTATTTATAACATTACGATAAAGAAATGGTGGAAGAAGAATGGTATGAAACTACTAGAATGGTTGCGAAACATACCGAAAAAGAAAATATAGAAAAAGTTTATTCGCACACAAATCCTTTTATAAGAAATTTTATCAGACGATCTATTAAAGGAGGAAGAGTTTCGGCAAATAGAAAATCATTTGAAACGAACAAAATGGATGAAATTTGTAACGTATTAAAGGAATATATTTCACAAACAGAAAGTAATAACATAATTGATTTATTCAAAGAATACAGCGCAAGCACAAAAGACAAAACGGAGGTTCATTCGAGACTTAAAAAAATAGAATGTACTAAACTAATGGCATTTGATGCTAACGGTTTATACGCTTCCGCCATGTCGGATTTAGACAGTGAATATCCGAGAGCCGAAAGTGGAAGACCGTTTCTACCAGAAGAAGAAAAAGAGTTTGTGATGCTGTTCAATAAACAAAAATTCAGACCTAGAACAGCTATTTTAACAGTGTGGTTTGACTACCCCAAAAACATGTTCTTCTAACCGATACCAGCTAAAGATAAAATCACTTTCACGAATAAAGAAGGTAAAAAGGAAACGGGTAATAATTATGGACGAATTATTAGAATATTAGATGGTATAGTTTACGAAGAAAATTTTAAAACTCCACCCTATAGAGATTATATTTTAATTTTGAGAGATTTAAGAAATAAATATAAACGAGAAGGTAATATCGTGGGTAGTAACTGCATGAAATTATTAGGTAATTCCTTGTATGGCAAATCAATTCAGAAAGATTTATTCACAACTAGACATTTATGGAATGAAGCAACTTTACAGGCCAACTTTGATTCACCCGTTAAAACCTATGAGAAAATTAATGATACTCAATATATTGTTGAAACGGAAATTGAAGAAAAAGAGATTACTACCGAAGATAGTAAATCTACACGACTAACACCTAGTCATTTGGGATCATTCGTTTTATCTCACAGTAAAAAAATAATGAACAATTTCATTCACATCATAAATGGATTTTATAAACCCGAAATATACTATACCGACACCGATAGTTTGTACATTTCATCCAAAAATTGGAAAAAACTAAACAGAGCTGGTTTGGTCTCCGAAAAAGACTATTGCAAAGGTAAAAACGATTACGGTGACGGTGGAATTATATTTGGTTTATATTTAGCACCAAAAGTCAAATACAACATCGTTTTGACTTCTGATGGTGTCTTAAAAGAAAAGAAAACGTTTAAAGGTTATTCTAATGATAAGATAAGTGTAGAAGATTACGTTCAGTTAGCAAGCGGACATGATGTGTCGAACGAATTTAATAAACCGTGGGAAAAAAGTTTCACCAATGGAGTAGTTATTCCAAATGATAAACAAACTACAGTTTTCCGAAGTTATTTGAATAATGTTAAAAGAAAACCACCAAACAGTGAAGGAATTATGTATCCTTACAACGACAAAGATGAGTATAGTTTTGACGAAAACTATGAATTTGATGATTTCGACTATCTTTCTAATCAAGAAGAGAATGAAGATTGTTTTAAATGAAGTTGAATGACAATTTCTTCGTTGCCAAAGTCTATGAACCTGTTTTTACCGTCTTTGATTTCCAGATTTATATCTTTGATCATGAAAGAATTGACTGGTAAATAGGTCGTTTGAAACGGTTTCTCTATAATTCTGTATCCGATCGGCACCGTAAAAGTCGGTATGCTGTATATGATTTGGCGTTTGTGCTTGTTGAAAAATCCACCGTTGATCAAACTACAGTGAATGTTGATCACGTCGATATCGTTCTCGATGTTGGCCTTGTGCGGCGCCAATGTCGATTGCGCGTATATTCGTTTATCGAACCCTAGTAACGCATTCAACGAATTTTCTACGTTGAAATCGACTTGACTGTTATTTCTCAAGATCATTTTTATTTTGTTCAGATTCAGATTACCTTCGAATTCGATATTGTTTTTGCCGTTCACGCTTCCTGCGTATTCGGATAGGTAATCGTTGATGGCTACGTATTCGTAGCTCCCCGGTAGTAAGCTTATGGTTTCGAACGTAACTCCGTTATCCGTCGATATTTTTAGTTGATTGTTTTTTTCGTTGATGTTTCTAATGGAATTGTAAACGGAGAAATACTTTAATCCCAGTTCGTACTGTTTATTGCGATCGAGTTCATACTCGTAGTCTAGAGACAATTTGATGTCTGGTTTATTCGAGGTGATAACGAACAATTGTTCTTTATTGGACATTTTTAATGACGTTTATATAGTCTTTTTTAGTGATGATTTCTTTCTCCAAAAGCCGTTATAATATGGCATTGACTTCGTTGTATTGTCTGTCCGATCGATGACCTTCTTTCATGGCCGCTAATATTATTTCTAATCTATTAAGCAATTCTTTATTGTCGTCGGATAAAAACGTTATACCTTGTCCAGATGCCACCATATCATCGAATTCGTCTATTTCTTGTATGATTGGTGGATAATCTTCTGCATAATCGTCTGATTTCTCTTCCTCAATAACTCTTGTTATATAAAAATCAACTTCTTTCAATCTTCTTGATTCGGGTCCTGACTTTCTTATTGCATGTAGAAATTTTGAGTATGCAACTAAATCCTTGTAATCGGCAATTTCAACATCCTTGCCATTCATTAAATCTATTAACCCTCTCGTTAATCTAAATATAAAGTCTTTTGTGTCGATTTTGAATAAAGGGGAATTTGGACTAAATATTATTCTAAATCCATTAAACAATAAACCTTGATTATCAACGATTGGTGAAATGCTCTTTGGTAAATCTGGGTCAGGGTTTGAAAAAAGACGTTTTATATCATCTAATCTCTTAATACCACCATATTCAATCGGTTTGGGTTCTATAGGAGGTGTGGGTTCTAAAGCTAATTTCTTTTTAATATCCTCTTGAGATTTTAATATGGGTTGAAATAGAGTTTGTAGATTTTCCGTTAATCCGAGTTGTTGTAATCTGTTATTTTCAACTTGGGTCTTTATTTTATTCTTAGCTTTGATATATTGTCTATTTCTTTTTAAAAAATTATTCCAATCCGTCATTTTTAAAAAAATAAAATTAACATATATCGATCATAACTCTTTCTCCCGCAGGTTTTCTAGTATTTACAAATACATATCCATGATCGTCTGGGTTTCTCCATTGAGCTTTACAAACCTTTTTAAATGTATCTCTGTCCATTCCGTGATTTATAGACTGAATGATTTGAGATAAATCTTTATCGTTTAATTCAAATAATAAAAAACAATTTGCATTTTTTCTAATGAGCATAGAATCCATCCCGTAAAAAGATTGGGATTGGTATATGCAGTGACAGTTGTGATGTCTTCCTTTGGTGAAGAATTCTTGTTGAACAGTTTGATTTCTTTTTGCTACGCAGTCGTAAAACAATATTAAGTTCTTTCGATTACTATCAATATTAAAAAAGTCTAGATCATTAACATTTTTCGTAAGAAAAACTTCTATATCCGTTGGATTCTTTCCTTCGATGTAGTTATCTATGATATCTTTTATTTCCACTTCTTCGTTTTCTTCGTAATATTGAAATAGGTCTTGAACATCTTTCTTTGGTAAATATTCCAAAGCTTTGAGGAATTGATAATACGATTGCTCTGGTGTTGTTGTGTAGATATACAGAGAATCGAAATCTAAAAGGTTTGGTGTTGGCAACATGTTAAAAGTGAGATGAGTTTTCCCAGAACCGGAACTACCGCATATACACATGAGCATTGGGTTATTAGGAAATATTTCCGAATGATTAAATTTCTTGCCCATTTTTATTTATTACATTTTCGTACCAAAAATCACCCCGTTGCCTTTATACTTTGAAAGGAAGATTCCCTCGCCCGAACGTATGTTTTTAAAAAATATGGCGTCGCCCTTGTGTTTGACCTTCATTTCTCCGGTGTCGATTTATCTATTAATTTGCATAATCCCTCTTTAACGGTTTTCTTGGTTTCTTCGCCAAATCTTTGTCCGAATTCTTTAACCGTCCCTAATATATCTCCTATTCCCGAACCTCCTCGTGCTTCTCTTTCCATTGCCAAATTGTGTCTACGTTCTTCAGCTTCTTTTACTGCAGCTGCTTTATTTGCGTTGGCAGCTTTGACTGCGGCAGATATTCCTCCAGTAGCTGCACCAGCTGCAGTTAAACCAGCAAAGATTAAAGGTAAGAAAGGTAAAAATCCACCTTTTTTAGTTAAATTCTCATCAATTCTTTCTAAGTCTATATCGTCTCTGACTTTACAATGTTTGTATTTATCGATAATCTTTTGGGTTATATGCACTTTTTTACCGTTGTAAGTTATTAGAGTCGGCGAATTCGTTTCCATAGCTTCTATTATTTTCATAATTAAAGTTTCTGGTTTCTTTTTTAAAGGGTGTTTTTTTATTCAATTCTTATCATTCTTCTATCTGATATTTTAATCAAATGTTTTGCTTCTTCCAGCAATAAACAGTAGCCGGTCACATCTCCTTGTGTTTTATCGATGTGAATATTTATGTTCACCCCTGTTTTGAAAAGATCTTCTTGATGAGCTGACAGATCGAAACAAAAGATTGGATGATTGAGTGAAAAATCTGTGTATTCAAACTGAGGCGTATTTCCAAACAATTCGCACATGTTTTTATAGTTTCTGTACAATTCGTTGTAATCTTTTTTGGAAGGATCAATTGTCAAAGGTTGATTGGGATAATTATCGTTGTTCAATCTGACTTGAACTTTGCGAATGATGGGATCTTGAGTATGGTTCAATGCCACTCTGAAAATGTTGTTGTTGTTTGTCTGAGAGTCTGGCAAGTTTTTGAAACCTACCATTAGATACCTCGCTGGTTTGACGGTGTTGGTAATTGGCCACGTGGTGGATTCTCCCGTTAAAGTCATGCTACCTACCGTGTTACGACGAAGAAAAGCAATTTCGATGTCTTTGGTTAAAGAGTTGAATATTCTCGTTTCGACTTCTACGGAAGGAGTGATTACTGGTATGTAAAGTTGGATATTCGTTATTTCCAATTTTGCGTCAGAGTTGTTTTCACCAAAGAATATCTTGTTGTCGTTAATTTCTCTTTGCAAATGAATTTTATACGGTAAACCTATGGAAACCTTTCTGTGTTCCAAGAGACCAAATAAAGGATACAACTTCCAATTTACGTAATTACCCCATCTGTTGTTCTCGACGACATTGTTGTATTGAAGCGCTCGTTTTTCAAATCCGTGATTTACTCCGCGAGTCACTCTTTCCAGTGTGTTTCTAGCGACTACCCTTATCCTAGCAAGGTCTGCGTCATTTGCTACAGTTCTGACCGGTTCTTTTAAAACTTCTCCGTCACCGACATCGGGAATCCATCCCGAAACTGAATCGTAGTTTTTGGGATAGAGAACCGTTTTCAACATTGTGTCAAACTCGCCGGGGTGTTTTATGGTCTCTATCGGATTTGAACCAGCTTCCAAAACCATTTCGCTGAATAAAGACGGAAAGAAGTTGTTTTCTAAAGTCGTGTTGGTTTGTGGAATTCGATTCTGAGTGGCGTCTTTGATTTTGAAATCGCATCGGAAATGGGCATCGGAAAGCAGCAACCAATTGGACAACGAATTAATTTAAAAAGGTAACTCTTCCTCCGTCGTTTATTTGGGTCTTTGTCCCTACCGATGGTGAGATGATTACGTAATCCTCTTTCTTCTTGTTGAACGAATATTGAATCGGATCATACAATTGAAAGATTGGATCCAATCTGTAATTTTTGCTTGCCATTTTTATCCAATGATTTTAAACCCTTTTCCTTGTTTTTCAAAGGCTTGTCGTTCTAGTCTCTTGTTTCTTAGTTCTCTTATTAGCTGTAGTTCTTTAAGTTCGTTAGATTTTTTCACTGCATCGCTTATATTTACTCCTGCTTTTGCCACAGATCCAAGAGCTTGCGAAATGAGGGACTTGTTGTTTGAGACAAAATTGGCCACTTTGGGGATGAGAGATGTTAGCGCAGAGAAGAAACCGTCTCCTTCGAATTTTTTTTGTTCGTGTTTTAAAATTAAAGACATTTTTAATGCGGTTATTTTTTACTGTATTATTATTAGTGATCTGTGGTTTGGGTAATTTATATGGAGTCTGTTATAATACAGTTTGGAGGATTGTGTTATAATACATTTTAACACTTGTGTCTTTTCGTATATGACGCATTGAAAAAGCTGCGCATGCGCAGAAGTGAAATGCGTCATATCCGAAAAGACATATACTACTGTCGTCATTTTAACTTTCAAACGCGGATAATTCTGGACACGCATGGATTTGTAGGCTCAAATTTCGACTGTGAGTTGTGAACACTATTACTGATTAGCGTAACTAAAACAATCCCGTTTCTGAGACTATGGTATGATTGGTCAACTGATGGTGAATCTGTCCCTTTAATATTTGATAGTCAATAAAACGTTAGGAATATAGTAACATTTCACAAATTATATCTAAAATTTGCAAACAATATATGAAATTCATACGAGCATTTAGTTGCATTATTTTATGGAAGTCAGTGTTGGATTTTATGTAGTATCAGGACATGTTGTTCATTTTTATAATTTCTTTTATTAAAACACAAATAATACACTTAATTATTGAAAACACAACGTAAACCATATATGATATGATTTCAGAAATCTAAAGAAAAGGTGTTTCTCTTCTACAGAATGTTTAGCCTGTAGTTATGGTGATCAGTGTGTAACATCCTTGTATATCTGTTTAATGTTCAATATTTAGAATTTATGTATATCTCTCCTAGAAAATGTTTACCTGGAAGTTTTTGTGATCAATGTTCAAAATTCATGTATATATCTTTTAGAATGTTTAGCTGTTAGTTATGTTATGATGATCAATGTTTACAATTAATGTATATACTGATACACGTTTAAAATTTATGTTTATCTCTTTTACAAAATGTGAATGACATACCACAGAGGCACACCATTAGGAAACCAATCAGTACAGATACAGTTCGAAATCGGCTCGCCTTCCAGAACCTGTCTTGTCGCCGTCTTGGCGCTCACTCCCCATCATCGTCAACAGCAACAACATTGGCGGCATCAGCAGTGGAGGATCCATGTGTTCATAGATGAGAGTCGGTACTGCATTTCCACCGCAAATGGCAGAGTACGAGTGTGGCGAAGAAGGGGTGAACGTTTTACAGAACAGTGTGTGGTTGAAAGAGTCCCGTGGGTCACGTGATCTTTACAGATGGAGGCTGAAATCCAGATTCTGGGTGTCCAAGTTGTGCGTTGATAACGGTCCGGAATATTATGTACACAGAGTGACACAGATGATTTACAGACGCCATTGGAATCTGCGCCCAGACTCTCAGGAAAGCTGCCCTGAGTTCTGCTGCATTTCTTGGAAGCGGTTGGATCTGGTTTTCTCGTCTTTAGATGTCATCCCACAAGTGTTGTATTGGGTTCAAGTCCGGACTGGGTGAGGCCCATGGCATTACTCTGATGTTATGCCGTCGGGGGAAGGTTCTGGTGACTATGTCAGTGTGTGGACAGGTTGCAAAATGCGGTACAATGTGGGGTCGGAGAACCTGTTCGATGTTACGGGCGGCTGTGACTCCATGGCCTCTGAATGGGCTGATATTCTGGAAGGCATATTTTAATTTACATAATTTTCATATTTATTATTTTGTATACTGCCATGATAATGATAACAGTACAGAAAAGTGCATAATTGTATGTGTAGATACCACGACGGATGTGTCTCTGCCAAATAAAGTTGTTATTATCATCAATATCAAAGAATGGCTTGTTAATTGTTGTTTTTTTTAGATGAACACGCTTACCTACAGATATCAGGCTCATCTGATAAAAATCCAAGCCAACATTCGAATGAACGACCTGGTAATGTTAATAGAATGTTTATACGCTAATATAGAACTAGACCGAAACATCTGTCTCTAATCCAGCCTCTGGTCGATATTTGAGTTGGCATCTATCGAAATATGTATCAGAGGCTGGATTATAGACAGATGTTTCAGTCTAATATAGAAGATACGGTACGATATTCAATTGTTATGCCCATTTAGGTAATAATACAGTCATGATAATTATAAGGGATAATAATTTTATTTTCAGTGCTAGAATCAGAATACGAACTTTCTTGACCTCCACATTAAAGACGTTACTCAAATCAAATGTTCTTCTAAACTGGAATGTAAACGTCGGCTGTACAACTTAAGATCAAGCTTTTCTCATAACCTGTTTGTAAAACAGCAGTACAGTTATCAACCCGGGTTAAAGTCTCGAAGGTTTCAAACCTTTTTTATAACGGTACCTGGAACACCAAATTTAAAACTTTTCTCCTAATGGGTGCCACACTCTGTTTTTTTATGGCATTTTTAATTAGAAGTAAACAATTATTATTTTCAGAAATTCCTGTACCACATTAATACAATTATTTGCCATGAGAGTTACCAATATTATTACATCATAATTATGGTACATGTATGGTAACATTAATCATGGTTTGTAAGTTGCAATGGTTGAAAAATGGCTTGTTCAACACTCCCAAGAACTAGTGCTTGATTATTTGGGCTTCATGCATGAACTTTTGTTTATGACGCCACATCAAAATATGCATTCGTAATTGCAATCTATTGGTCTGTAGTGGTGCAGATCTGTTTGCTTGCCAATGAGAAAGTATTTCTTTTTTTAAAATTGTATTTACCTGGATTATATATTTAAATCATTAATATTTATCATAATTTTTTTTATTACATAAATTTATATTTTATTAGTTAATTGCTCTATAATTGTCTTTGAAGCTTATTAAAATGATATAACATGAATTTGAATGGGTTGAATTTTGCTGATATGAACTCTCGTGGAAGCATGCATTTTAGATGTTTGCTATCTTGGAAGGTAAACGAATAGTAACCTTTAAGTGCAGATTTCTGTAGAAACAGACAGTAAATAAATTTTAAAGAGATTGTAAAAAGTTCTCTAGCCTATTTATGTATATCTGGAACATTTATAACTTAATATAAGGTACATTTTCTGCCCAGCGCCTGTGGTCCCTGTAATTCGATCACAAAAGAACCAATTGTCTGAGGAATCACGAACGGACAGACAGAGGCAAGACAGCATACGTAAACACACGTCTATAAAACAATGCAGGCTATAAAAAAATATCTAACATTTGTCAGATCCTTCCTTTATTTTTTATTTTTTTATGTTTGCGTCCATCATAACATACTTCTATAAATAGATTTGTTATCTATGTACATATAAACAAGACATTATATAAAAAATACTATCAACAAATTACCATAATTCATATACACAAATATACAATGGATAATAGTTCGGGGTTATTATTAATGTTGCAGAAAATTAGTTGGGTCAGCTGATAGTCGGTCAATTGCTTCACTGTTTTCTCACAACCCTCTTTCATTAATACAAACTGGTACAGAAATTTATCAAAAACAATTATAAATTTGCCTGAAAGATTGTTGAGAGCATGAACATAACTTTACTCAATGATTTAAACTAAAACCACAAAGAGTCTGATTGATTTTAGGGATTTATCATAGTAATTGAATAGAATAGTAAATGTAACAATGCAAGCAAGATATGTGTCCACTATTACTCATACCAAATTAAAAGTACCAGTTCGCCATTTTCGGGGGTTGATTTAGCCCTTAAATACATGTTAATAGTCTACAGAGTTACTAGAAATGTACGGTATTTCTTTCAAATACACCTCAAACTAGGAATTTTACTTTCTATTTCTATATATTATCTTTTCTATCTATGATAGAGACTCATCTTTTTAACTTTCAAACTCTCCAAGACTTAAATTTCAACGGTGAGCTATGTACACTATTACTGATGGCTAAGCTAAAAAAATATCCTGTTTCTGGGACTAAGGTACGATTGGTCAAACGAATGAGAAAGAGTTTTGTCTGTCCTAAAGCTTACTTCACTCATACCCTGTTTTGGAGGCATTTTAAAGAAAGGTATTTTACAAATTCATATTTTCTGTTCATTAATCATTAATGAAAAATTCTTACAGAGGGTTTTTAAGAGGTTTGCATTCATTATAATGCCACTAAGATTATATCAAGGTTGAGTAAGCAATAAAAAAAATTGTATGCATATCCCATCATTGTTAGCAAATGAATATAAATGTAGACAATAAAAAGCACAAATTGGGCCATTGTTTTTTTTCAATCCGCTTCCAACAGAATTATGTGTAACGTTTGCTACTATTTTCTTCAGTCAGTGTAAATGGTGATACATGAAATATTTTTGTTATATTGTTAAAAAAACAAGGCAATGCAATGTAATAGAAGGTACACAGTCCAGTAGTCTTTAAAACATATTAAGGTTTATCTACTGATCAATTGATAACACATCTAAAAGAAATTTAGTGGTCAGAACACCAATCAAGACCCCGCAATTGTGCTCAGTATTAACCAAAGCATAACAATTAAAAAGAAAGAATACTTGAATTACACTGTTGTAACTATAAGACTCTAAAGGAATAGAAGTTACTGAGACCGCGACTAAAGTTCCAGTTTAATATCAATGAAAGTGTATAAACAAGTAAAAGCGCTGTTATAGGATATAATAATGTCCTGGTATTCTTTAGAAATGGTAAAGCTGAAATATAACATATATCACAAAAATAATATTTTTACTGTTAAAATAGTTCTCAATAATCAACTGTAGAGCAATATAGACATATTAAAACAGAACTTGAATCGTGTTGTTACTTTCACACTATGCCATCCAACACCACAATGCAAGTCCTTTTTTAATATTTTTATAAAATATATTATAGTTATTTGAATAGCAGTCAAGCTTTTTCTCAATTTTTTTTGTGTTTTTATTGTCAAAGGTGTGAAGCCACTCCTGAAGCTTGAACATCAGAAGTAAATAATAAAGACTACTATAAGGAGACAGAACAGTATAAGTCACTGCAGAACAGTATAAGTCAATAACGAAACTTCAACAAAGCAAGTCACTACTATACTTGAAGAAAGTAAGTCACTACTGTAACCTGAACAAAGTAAGTCACTACTGTAGCCTGAACAAAGCAAGTCACTACACTACAATAGCTTTTATATTTAAAATCCATCCAATTTACAACTATTTGAAATATCTGCTTTCAGTGTAATAAAAAGGTTATCTTTCCAACTTACCACTGTATCCTAGGAACGTGATATAGATATAATAACCCAATGCTATCAACCATAAAGAATTACCAAATAATCTTGGAAAAAACCCATCTATAGCAATAAAATCTGTAATACATTTAAGTAAAATGGTAACAAAATTTAGAAATATCAACATGTGAACTTAAACTTAAAATAATCAGCAACCTAGATATGTAAGCTTACTTCAGTTTGACTAAACTTGTAAGCTATTCTGGATATTTTGACTGGTTGGAGAAATGGAACTACTCCCTAGGGTACAAACTTCAATCATCCAGTAAATGTTATCAATATTTGTTATTTGATTTTCATATATCAACCAACAATATTTAAAACCCGAAGATAGAAGACCAAAAGATGAAAATCTTACGGTTTAAGAAGAAGAGTTGAAATAAATGTAAGATCATTAACAAAGGAAAAAAAGCATTCAGGTGAACATCAAACGCATATCCCCATTCTACATCTTGTCCTCTTGGTGGAGCTGATATCATATATCTATTGGTTATTAGCCTACAAAATATAATATTTACAGTTATAAACCTTCATTATATTTCTTATACTTATTGGTTACAAACCTACAAAATATAATATTTACAGTTATAAACCTTCATTATATTTCTTATACTTATTGGTTACAAACCTACAAAATATAATATTTACAGTTATAAACCTTCATTATATTTCTTATACTTATTGGTTACAAACCTACAAAATATAATATTTACAGTTATAAACCTTCATTATATTTCTTATACTTATTGGTTACAAACCTACAAAATATAATATTTACAGTTATAAACCTTCATTATATTTCTTATGCTTATTGGTTACAAACCTACCAAATATAATATTTACAGTTATAAACCTTCATTATATTTCATATACTTATTGGTTATAAACCTACAAAGTAATACAGTTATAAACTTTCACTATATTTCATATACTTATTGGTTATAAACCTACATAATATTTTATAGTTACAAACCATCAATATAGACTGTATATATTACTTTCAAAATCTGTAAATATTTCCTATTAATTTTCAAAATATTCTTTTGACTTATGGATTAAGTATCTGCAAATTGTGCTGTTATCTTTTATAAATTTCTATGAGGATATCTTATATAAGCTTTTGCACAAAATATAACAGCACTTGATATGCAATTGCACAAATATAACATTTTGTGTTTTTGACAAATATTGCACATTGTCCTCCAAAGATGCATACCAAGAGAACAATTAGTGAAGAAAATGAAATGAAATGAATTGATTTTAGGTCCTACTTTTCTGCACCATGTGGGAAGTAGAAATAACTTATATTTACCATAATATTGTAGCAATCACTATTCCAACTCCAATACAGTCAACAAATATAACCCAAATTATAAACTTAACAAAAGCAAAGAAATGTAATCTTAATACAACAGCAAAGCCAATTGATGACACTGAAAAAAGTGAAATAAAATAATGACCTAGTTTATGATGATAATATGCATTTACATGTAAAACTTTTTCATCAACAACTCTTTGTATATTAAGTGATAGGTTAGCTTTCTATTCCTAAATGCAGTGTTAAAGCTATAAAAATATCCCCAATATTCTCCATGTTTTTTTTTCTACTTACCAACTAACCAAAAACTTAACAAAACCAAAAATGCAGGATCATCTCTTGCCCACTGATCTTTTGTATCTAAAATGAGACAAACAATAATACATCAATATTTATAAGACAGATCTATTGTATTAACCTTAAATGTTTCAATTTAGCAGGGATTAAAATATACCCCTACCCTAACAACAATAATGTGTGTCTCTACAGCTTTACAGTCTCCAATTCAAATTTTCTCTAACAATTTTACAAAGTACCTTTTAATAGTTATACAACAAGAGTAACTTACGTTTCCGGTACTGAAAATTTCTGTATCTGAAATAGAAGAACAGAGAAGATGTATTAAACTCTAAACAAAGAATAGTAAAGTTATTCTGAAAATAATTCAAACTATCAACTCTTGCTAAAAGTGTATGTCAGTACACAACTAGTAGTTAAACTCTCAAGAACACAGAAATAACAATTAATGGATTGACTTACCAATAATAAATAAAAAAATAAATGTGATTAGATCTAAAATGAGTGAAATAAAGCCGTAGACAGTAAAGAGTAAGCTTATGAAATATCTCGCTAGAGCTGTATTGAAAATAATAAGAATTTGATAACATTGTTAAAGTACATAATAATAGCTTATGAGATAAAAAAAAATCATTTGGAGATTCTACATCAGTAATACTTACACTTTTTGTGGCGATACAAACAGATAAATCATTTGCCAAAAGGCATATTCAAAGTCCATCTGTTTAAACTTCAGAAGTCTTTTAAAATATTTTTGTCGTTTGGATGTGGCTGTGAGCCTGGCATCATGTTTTGAACTACTTCCATTCTGTGATAGTGGTGACATTATAGATGAACTGGTAGGTGAAACTGGAGGGGACATTTTCCCATATTTTGACATCTTGATATTTAAGTCTCCTCCTAAAATTGAATAGTTTAGCTGGAACTATTAAAGCAAATTTATAAGCTAAAGTCATGTGCCTTATTAAAGTTTCTTTCAATGTCCTCAAAACATAAAGGGTCATAAAAAAATGTAGCCTACTTTGTCGTCATTTCCGTTATCAGTAAGAACTACATCTAGATCTAACTATTAATTATCAACTAAATGTTGCCCACTAAATTTACTCTAGGGCTACACTGTTTCCTGAATTGTATTTTCAGACATTTTTATATGAATTTCTTTTGGGTCCATTTCACAGGAATATGCAGTGAGGGAAGTGCGTATATTTCAAATGTAAATTCAATGAACCCCAAGACATTCTAAGACAAAAGGCATACAGTTGGAAAATATTAATTTGAATATTAATGAAATGAGAGTAAAAATTCAATTCAATTTCAAAGCTCAATATAAGTGTAATTCTCATCTCTAAGCCAATTAGTACAAATATTCAGTGTGTCCCTTCAAGCAAACACACCACCTTTGAAGATTGTCGAGAAAAAGATTGAAACTGAATAATTAGACACAAAATAATAAGACGATATTTCTCCACGTAGCCATGTTTGACACAATATAAACAAATTGGATTTCGCATTCAAAATCTAATGATTTGATAGATGGTATCATCTTGTGTCAAGATCAATGAAGACTTTAAGAATAAGAACATTGCCCACACGATATCATTGATTTTTATCATAATTACCTCTTTTAAAACAAATTTTATTATTTTCACGATAAACAAATATCAACCGGAAGTGGTGAGAACAACACTGTCATGCGCATGTCACTTGGTAAAAAAAAAACGAACTCACGTTATACATGAAACGAAATGGCTGAACTAAAAATTTGACTAATATTTGCATATTAACATCACATATAGTCGTAAACTCAATTCAAGGACATCTGAAAATCCTTAATCAGATCTTCTTGGTGAGGCTTAAACATCCTCCCCACCTTCACTTTCAACACCCCCCCCCCCCCCCCCCCACCCAAAATAAATATAGGCCTATATGTATACAACTTAATTACAGTGTGATAATTATTTGCATTTGGAGATAGTTGTCCAACTAGATTATGCATCTTCACAATGTCAAGCGATATACGAACTGCGTCTTCAACCTTGACTGCAAAAGCCACCTTTGTGGTATGTCAGATTTAATAGGATTATACGCTAAAGAATACAGTCAACCATAGCCCCCGATTACACGCGCAGTCAAATTGTTTAGTCTTTCTGCCGAGGGCTTTCATTGGCTGAATTCGTTTTGCCGTCAAAGAATGTGACGCAATTTGAAATAGCTTGACATCGTGAAGATGTAGATTATGGTGTGCAACTGTCTTCTTGATTTCCTCAAATTATATAGTTGATAATGTAGAACATTTTCCGGACGAAAAGAAGGAATCATAAAAACAGTACAACGTTGCTCTTGACGAATGATGTTGACATGCCAATTTTAAGTGGCAGTATGCAAAATTTTCATTATCAAAAACTTCGTAATTTCACCTGAAAATATTTTATGAAATATGCTAGGCATGGTTAATTAAAGTTGAGAGGACTAATTGTTAATTAAGAAGTTTTGGTCTTTGTCTTTATAATGGCTCGAAATTATTAGTTGACTTTCTGTCCAATTAGGCGTTTATTTTTTCTAATTCGTACAGTAGTTTTCTTGCACATAGGCCTACCAAAAACAATGACAAACTTAAAAAGTTTACTTTAACATTTTAAATAGTTTCGGCGTTTAAAAATTATCGGCTGGATGTTTTAGTTCAAACTTTCACATACGTTAAGGGAAATATTTTTCTAAATTTTGATGTATAGTTTTCATGGGCAAAAAAAAAATATTTTCGACGTACAAAAAAAAACAATGCCCCTCCCATATAATTGTGTTCAGTTATATCATGCCCGTTTAACGAATATATGCCAGTAGGTTATATGGTAGATAGGTCACTGTGTTCCCTCGACAATTATCTAATTCTTATCTTACACAAGAAAGGTCCTCGCGATAAGGTTTTCAAATAGTAGTGGTTTTAAATGAAACATGAAGCCAGTTTGGTTCTTGTGGGTTTTCATGGGATTAACCTATTCTATTCCAATCAACCAAAATACAGTAAGAAATTCTATCAATTTGCTAAGTTCATTATTATTGTTGCTAAATAGGAAAATACACCCGTCAGTTTTAAAGGATTGAAATAATTGTTTCTTGTTGCCAACTATAGGTGTACAATTTCTAAATATACACAAGAAAGGCTTGTTTACGATCTGAACAATGTTTCGGAATACAAATTCAGACACTCTCATTTATAAATAACATACTGAAAGCCCACTTCTATCAATGCACTTGATGGTTTTAAATATAATTATCACTATTATCACTTATTATCCAAAAAGGCCAATTCAGACTTACGAAATAATAATGTATGGATCAATTCCGAGGTCTCGTTCCATGTCGCCCCGTTCCAATTCGCCTCTATAAAACATTCTCGCCTCTAAATTGGGCGAAAAGGAAAAGGGGCAAACAAATATCGACGGAAAATGTGAATAGATTAGGGGTCATATGGGAACAAACCCGATCAAACAAACGAGCAGCACTACACATCTCTATTATGTTTGATAACCGGCAATCTTGTTTAATGCTGGTAGATATACATGGTCAAAGTATTACCAACTTTGTATAAATATTGATTTTAAATTTTCAGACTGAAAGGACTGACACAGGTAAATCTTTTTTAAAATATCAATAATATTGAAGGCGAACGAAAGAAGTGTTACTGATTGGCGGCTTGGCAACAAAGCCACAAATTTGCATTTTTGAACTCATTGCCATGATTTAGAAAATATTGAAAACCTTCCACTATATAGAAGCCATGAAGGCGATAGTTTCTTAAACATGCAATTAAACAAAATTGCCAAAACACGTCCATCGATTTCAGAGAAAAATTTCTTTATCGTCGACAGGAACTTATTCACTTCAATGATTACCCAAAAGAAGAGAGTTTGGCGCAATTTTGAACATATTAGTAACAATGAATGTCCACACCGAAATCTCATTGGATAAATTATTCTGTATCCAATCGTCGTTATAGTCTTATCAACTGAGTTACATTCACTATGATTGACACTGATTGATGTTAATAGTCGTCACCTTCTCATACTTATAGTCACGGTCTGTTCAGAATTACTCGCATCTAACTGGGCAAAAATGATGATGTCGCTAACTATAATACTGTGAATCATTTGTCATAGGAACACGTCTCTACTGTTTGAATTGGAACCAGAAAAAATTAAGGTTGAGTTGATCTTAAGACAAGACCATAAGCAGTGATTTGATTTGTAGCAAAAAAAAAAAAGGAGAGCACAATTCGGTAAACAATCGAGTTACGTCCCTTGGTACATTATTGAGCAGTGTTGTTGAGTTGATCCATGGACATCAAGGAGCTTTAGACCTCTCAGATCGACATTATGAATGTCTTTGTATTTTTTCAAATGTAACTCACATCACATTAATTACGTATGTTTCAGAATTTGACGAAGATTACCCAGAAGAAAATCCAGGTAAAGGCTGTATCAGCAATTTGTTTACGGGCAATTGCCCAAATGCAATCGGAAATCCTTGACACTTTCCAGAAATCTGTTGCAGAGCGTCAACAAAACTTTCAGGGATGACCATTTGGGCTAATGGTGCACATAACGGTGTTTATATTTCAAAATACACAGTTAATGCTTTATAATCATACTTTTGCACAATGAAAATGCATTCCTCCTTGAACGTAAAAAAGTATTTTATGTATTTACTTGAATAAAATCAGATGAATAAGCTCCCAGTTATATTTTTCGTATTCGATATTTTGTTTTGGGTAATTTTACATAAACCATGATATGTAGACACAAGTTACCACGAATACATGCAAATAACCCAATCAAATTCTCTGTACAGTTTATCCTATGCATAAACAGAACGTAATTTATAGGTGTATGTTGTCAGATCATGAATGAGTGACATAACCCCGATAAACTGACTATTACGGAAGAAGATATTATTGAGGACCTCGATAGAGACAAATACGATCTAATTATTGCGAAATTTAATTCAAACACTTTTGAATTCTCTATCGAACTCTATGGAACATATAATAGACATAGATTACAGCACTGCATGTAATGCTTAAACTGTTACGGTATATAGATGAGCTTGCAAATAAATAAATTCGTTCCCTCCTGTGCCAGAATTTGTTTCTCTTTTTAAGGATTATTTGAAGGAGATATTGAACTCAGAGAAGGAGAAGACCCAAATGTAAGTTTATAACAATAAAGAATTTATAGTTACCACAAATTACATCACTGCTAGAAGAAATACTATTGACATATCAGATAATATTTCATATTGACAGTTCTAGAATGAATTCTAGGAAGGTCTCGTAACTCCTTAAACC